AAAATATATCGATATATCGTAGGCCTACAATCTCGATATACCGCCCAGCCATGACCAAAACAATTTAGATGACTAATTGTTCAGACAACCCTCCTAGGAAACTAGAAATTAAAGTATGTAGTTCTGCTGCACGTCCACATTTTTCATCTAAAGTGTCTTACTTGCTTCTGCTGGTCCAAACTGGGGTTAGATGGGGCTAAAGGTCACTGTGATATAGGAGATGGATTGCAGGATTTGTGCCTTAACCCTTTCAGCCCTAAAGGCATGTAGAGTTTTTTGACATTCACAAAAGTAAAGACTCATAACTCCAAAACTATAGCAAAGAGAGTCAAAGGGTAGATATCCTTTGATAGAAATCTTCTATTTTCACATTTTACATTTGTATTTCTCATGCTGAGAAACTGCTGATAAAAGACAAAATATTTATTTATTTATATACACAGTATGTCTTTTTTATTTTTTATTATATTTTTACTTAGTAACTTTTATAATTCTTTTTTTGGCTAAGTTTCCCTACATGTGAGCTGCATCTGTGTCAGATTTTGTGGGGATAGCGTAAAGTAATCAAAAGTTACAGCATTTGTAACCAAGGTAGCTTTTGGGTTTAGCCATTGACACCCCCTAATGGGCATTTTTGAGCATCCACTGTAAGTAATGATAAGTAATTAGTGTGTTTAACATTAATGTGTTTAATTAATGTGTTTTGTCTTCCACCAAAGCTACTCATTTTGTGGTCTTGGTTAAAGCTGTTATTGGTTAATTAAGATTTGATTGATAAACTTCACATTTAGTCTATTTTTTTTTAAATCATGTTGTATTAATTGTGACAAGATCATCAAGGTCGATTTTTATATTTACTTAACTCGCTCTTACTATAGTTACTGCCATTATTTACAAATCATGAGAATAGAAAAGGGGCTTGAATTCAATTATTTGTTAATACAATATTTCGGTAAAGTGTTTTGAGGTCATAACATAGTATTTTTCAAGGAACCACTCAAAAATAAATCTTTATTAATATAAATATATATACTAATAATCTGCCCCTGTAACCATAATTTGTGTGAAAAGGAATAACATTTTTACTGCCACTAGTGTAGATATACCGGTGTATCTTTATATCTACAGTGAATCACCAAACAAGTGGATCCTATTTTCAGGGGCTCCCGGTCCGCTTCCAAACTAACTCTGGTGCAGTTAGTTAGACGGAAATATGAATGCAACATGGACTTCGAAATGAACCAAAAAATGGGATGGGATTTCACAAGATGTGACCTATTACAGTTCAGTACAGGGGTTGGAACCCCGTATCCTTGCAGCAGATCTTTGTTTGTGTGTGTAACAGAGGAATTCCTTTATGCTGTTTTGACTCCTTTACACATTTTATAAGACCTAACTGAGTTTTCACTTACTATATGTACACACATACAACGAGCAGATTAAGCCCAACATACAAGCTTTTTCTTTCATAAAAGTTGTTTTTGCTTGTATATTTAGGTTTGGTGTTAAACATGATAGTATAAACACTCAGCAAACCAGGACTAAATGTATATTTTTCTTCTTTTTTTTTTTGGTCCAGACCAAAGAACCAAGTAAACCGAACTACAAGTGTGAACACAACCTTACTGTAAATAGACAATTTATAAACATGTTAAATTTGGTCCAACTTATTCTTAGACAAAATTATTCTGTTTGATTTTTTTGGTCTCTAAATAATTTCCACTTTCCATGTGTGTTCTGTCATTGTACATAAAATGTGGATTTTTAAAAAATAATTTGTTAATAATATTGAATGAGTAGATGTGTGTATTCAAAACAAAAATGTTTTATATTAAATTTAGTTTATTACAGAATAACAATAAAACAAAAAGCTGTCAAAACATCAAGCAAATTTTCTCTATTTAGACTTAAAGGAATATATATACTGTGGTAGATTTTTCTTATTTCACGCCTGACCTGAGTCTACCTGGGTCTCGTCTGCAATCGACGTCCTCGGCCATCTACAGTCCACGTTAGTTTCCTATAATATTTATACTCTAGCGCGTCTCCCCAAAGACGTTGGCTGAGTCTCCTAACTCTAACTTGCTGCGCAGCGATAATAAACAGACAGACTTCAGACAATGCCCCCTAAATGCTTTAATCACAGCCGGGAGAGTTCTTGAGCATTTCTCAGAGAATCTCACGCAAAAAGAATAATACATCAGGTGTTATAGGATAAAGACAGACACAACAATAAGATCATTGTGATTAACTCATGACTTCACATTAGGGCTGCAACTCGGACAATTATTTTTCGATTAATCGGATTAAAAATTAAATTTGATATTATTATTATTATAACTAAATAAAACCCTAAATCAGGGTATTTATGTGTAAAAGTGTACTTTAAAAAGTGCAAAAGCCACACATTGAGTTTTACTAATATCAATATTTGCATTGTTTTTAATGATAATTGCTGATGGCAAGTTGACAACCATGATTAATGTAATATATATATATATATATATATATATATATATATATATATATATCCAACATATTATGTTTTAACTAGTGCTGGGCCGTGATCGGCGTTAACGTGCTGCGTTAACGTGAGACTCTTATCGGGCGATAAAAAAAATATCGCCGTTAATCAAAGTTGGGTTGGGATCATAAATAGCTTTTTCGAATATCGTTATATTTTCGCGCAATTCTAATGTGTAGTATGACGCCGCGCCTACTGTCACAGATCGCGCAGTAGGGTATTTTCCTGTCAGGGACACAAGGTGTACTTTTGCTTTGTTACGTTGGGCGAAGTTCCTCTCATTACTTTATTTTAATGCAATACGTTGTTAAATGAGTTTATTCCAAGCGCGCTGTGTCCTTTGTATGGGCATGAGCGATGCTCATTTACAAATGAATCACTCTTTTGAGTCGATTCTGTTCAAAGACTTCATCAAACAAGTTGTCAGATGATCTGTCTAAATCGGTTCGCGAATCAGTTGATCTGTTCAGTTCCTCGCGCACTGAATCGTCTGAAGCGCTTTCAATTCACACTCGGAGTCGAAACAGGAAGATTTAAGAGCATCAAGAGCGTTGGATGAAGTGGCCGATCTACAGTCTAGTCTAGTGAATGCAAATCTGCAAATGCATCATATTTTTGCCAGCGATGAAGATCTTTATTAGTTGAACACCTTCGTAAGCTGTCTGTGAATGAATGATTCCACAGGACGATACATTCGATTTCATTTCATTCAGGTAATACATTGTGTGTGTATTGCGCGTGTATTGCGCAGTGGCATAATCACACGGATAGTTTACATTGATTGAAACTAATTTGTTTAAAAATGAGGCTATTGCAGTAACAAGGCAGGTTCACATAAAATTCTTATGACATATGATGACATTATTTTTTGATCTAACGAGCATTGGCGATGCAAAAACGGACTGTCGTGCGTATTGTTTTTTTCTTCTTCCAATTAGCCTACTATTTAAAAAAAAAAAGGACGAAAACATGTTACTTGTTCAATTAATAAACAGTTTGTTTGATGAAAACTCGCTAAAGATGAAATTGGCCTCCCTTTCTGTCATTGCGTTTTTTTTTTTTTTTTTTTTTTTTTTACGATATTCGACTTTTGCTCCTCGATTGTCGAATGGCATTTTTGGCAGAAATGCACATCCCTACGCGAGGCAAACTATTCTCAAAGACTTACTTTTAGTCATTATTTGGGTAGCACACATATTCTGAATGCCTTCGGGAAAATTCAAATGAGCCATTTTAATCTAGATTAATCTAGATTAATTTCAATATTAGTCTAGATTAATCTAGATCAAAAAAATTAATCTATGCCCACCTCTAGTTTTAACACAATTTTTGTTAAAACAATTTACACAGACATGTTGTTCAGATGTGAAGATATAAACTAAAAACATCTCAAATATATAATTCATTGCATTTTTATTTAAAATTAATTGAATTACAAGGATAAATTGATAAAATAAATATAGAAAGACTGAAAACAAGCGTGTGAACGTAGAGCCGCAGTAGATCGCGTTTGAAAAACAATTAAAACTTAATAGTAGACAAATGCTATAAAAAGAGAACGGAATGGAGGTACTCAGCAAGCTAAAAGTCTTGATTAAAAGGACAGGAAAAATGATGCATTAGTGCACAAGCATTCGCTGAAAACCACTGAGTACAGTGACTAAAAAACAATCTTTTACTGCTGCTGTTATAACTGCCTTTATATTTAGTGCTTCACTTTGTAAACACCGTTTTAATTTAACCTATTTCTGCGGTAGCGCTATTTTAATCCATCAATTATGTTGCGAGCGAACTGATTGTGCAATCTGATGCTCGAGACAAAATACAGACATCCCAAGTCTTCTGGAAGTTCCGGAAGTCATCCGCAAATCGATAGCGGCTCCCTGATGCCGCTATCAATTAGGGGTGTTCAAACTCCCGGAATCTAGAGCGCGCAAACAAGAGCGCGCATGCGAGACAGAAGAGACTGTGCTCCAAACTGTGTAGCGCGCGCACGGAGGGAGAGAGACCTTGTGCGTGTGTGCCTCATGAAGCACATGTAAGACAGAGAGCATCATGATTGGCCTGTTTCAACCAATCACCAGTAAACGCTCCCCGTGACGTAAGCAGACAAACTAATCGATAATGACATTCGTTGACGATTTTCATAATCGATTATTATCGATATTATCGATTAGTTGTTGCAGCCCTACTTAACATGTCACCTTCTATCAATATGATTGGTTAAATTTGTAAAAGCAAGCCCCCCTTGCCCTCTGTTACTGGCATAAGCAAAATTATCTCGAATCATCAGAAAAAAAACAAAGAAAAGGGTTAAGAGTTCAGTTGATCACCCAATATGTCATGAGACAAAGCATACAGTATATTTTTAATTAGGGTACATTAAAAATGTGCAGTTGAGAGCATCCTCCAGCAACAAGGTTGAGAAACACTGCTTTAGATTATCAATTATTACACAAGTTTTGTTCTCTTAAACTTGCATCAAAAAAGGTGTGTGATATTTCTATGGCAGTATGAGTTGTGAAATACTCTTCTCACAGATCCATTGAAAAGGTTTAGTACATGCATCATCAAGCCACCCTACTAATTTAGGCCACTCTGGCAATTTAGGTACAGCCACAGTCAGGACACAGTTCTCTTTTGTACGTCCATTAGGCTCTCCATTCGCCCAGAAGCTGAAAATACAGATCAGCATTAGATGTTCAGTGCTGCTTTCTATGTGATATGATACTGACTGTGAGAATTATTTATTAGATATTAATCAGTTCAGTGTTTTCTCACTTAGAGGTCAGTGTGCTTCCATCAACCCATTTCCATGTGCCGTCCACTTCACTGTCAGTCAGACCAATCCAGACTATAGCTTTACCAGTCATGTTCTTAACAAAATCCTGAACAGATGAAACAGTTGAACATTTCTGCAACACTTTAGATTACAGCCTGCAAAGTACTCGAAAATAAAAGAAATTTAAAGCGTACCTTTCTGTTACAGTGTACCTATAAAGTACATACGTGTAAGAATAAGGGATCAATATGTAAAGTTTAGGCAATAAAGGGGTAACAACCAGGAAAATTAACACATTATTTACACTGTAAAGGCATCTTTACACAGCCAAGATGAGGCTGTTCTAAAGCGGCTCTGTGTCTGCTCAAATTTCTGTGTAAAGACCTAATGGTGCATAAAAGCAGGGTCAGACCCTCCTCAGCCCCTAATATCTGAGAGTGTTTTGGTTCAGTGTAAATAAACGCAAACTTGTGCCACCCTAAACTACGTCATTCTCATGACAACCTAAAGCAACCTGTCAGCTCAAGTGGCGCGGGAATCAAGAAGAGGGAGACAAAACATATAGGCATACCTCAATTAGGGGTGTGCGATATGACGGTTTTTGATCGTGGACGATTAAAATGTCTCCACGATCTGCTTTTGAAGAAATATCGTAGTATCGTGCATTTTATCAGTTGCAGTTCTGGCGCCGAGCTCCGTCTCACTCTCAACATACAACAAATGTTAACGCAGAGGAACGGTACGGGACACTGCAGTTCACAGAATTTCATTATTTGCATGTGCTTTAAAGCCTTGCTGGTTAAACATGTAATTCACGTGCTGATGCGCTGTTCTGACGTGTGCTTTCTGAGCGCATACACCCGAAGCACACGGGCACTAAAAGCCTGTCTAACAGCGTCTGTTTACTGGACTACGTTATAAGTTATCTTTCGAGTCTTATTGCGCTAATATTGTCAAATACACACAAGGTTTACATAAACAAAGTTGGTTATGTCTAAAGTGAAAGCAAACAGGAAAAAAATGAGAGAAAATCTGCTTGTCAAATGCGTGTATATTAGACGCGTCGCGTGCAGCTCTTAGGGCCTTTACATAGTCAACGCGAGCAACGCGAGCAAGCAACGCGAGCGACGCGAGCTACGCGCTCCTTTTCATAGTACACAAGCGTCACCGGCGATGCGTGAAATGCAATACACCGATCGCGCAGCAGGGGGTAGTAGAGTCTAGAGTCGGGTCACGTAATATTCAGATCAAAATGGCAACTGAAGAGGAGTGCATATTGCTGATTTTACATCGGCGGCAACAAAGGATGTATACGAACAAGCTCGCATAACTTTTCCTCTTCGCCCGCCATTGTATTCAAATCTTCTTCTTCTGTAAACATAATAATATACCTTTTTATGTACATTACTTGCAATGTCGCCCCCACCGACAACGCATAGTATTGCGTGCATCGGCGCGTCGCGTATCAAAAACTAGGATGACACATTTGGCTACGCATCGACGCATAATGGCGGCCGAAGCGTAGCGATGTGTAGCCTTGCGCACGCGTATGCGTACCGATGCGTTGACTATGTAAGGGCCCTTAAAGCGACAGTAGCCAGTTAGTAAACAAGCTGCCTCTTGTCTTTAAAGAGATAGTTTACCCCAAAATAAAAATTCTGTCATCATTTACTCACTCTAATGTTGTTCCAAACCTGTATTAATGTCTTTCTTCTGTTAAAAATTAAAGTTATTTGGAAGAATGTGGCTTACCAAACAGTTGCTGGTCCCCATTGACTTCCATAGTAGGAAAACATATACTATGGAAGTCACTGGAGTACAGCAACTGTTTGGTTAGCCACATTCTTCCAAATAACTTTTATTTTCAACAGAAGAAAGAAACTTATTCGGGTTTAAAACAACTTGAGAGAGTAAATGATGACAATTAAAATGTTTGGGAGAACTATCCCTTTAATGTTAATAAAAGAACAAAACACAAAGAGGAAATCACTCACTGCTCTTGACTGAGAACTTTAGTAGTAGCTTTAATAATAATCAATGTATAATTTATACAGTGAAGTCTATGTTGTGTTTTATTTTCGTATTTGTTCATTTAGCCTAATTACTTTCTTCAATGCTACTGTTAAATACCCCTACTGTAGCTGAAAAAATAAAGCACTGTTTATTTCATTTGTCATTCATTTGGCCTAAATGTCTGCCATTCTTTTTTCTTTTGTTACCTATAAGGCTTTTTTTTTTTTTAAATAGGGACATTAGTTTGGCTGTAATGCTCAGTGACTTGCAAAATAGTAAAACCAACATGAAAAAGAATCGTGATAAAATCGTTAATCGTGATTTTCCTGAAAAAAATCGTGATATGATATTTTTGCCATATCGCCCACCCCTAACCTCAATATTGTTTTAGCCAAATAAAAAAAATGTCAGTCAACAAGGGTCAATGAAGTAAAAGAGTCCTGTACTCACATCGTGAAGCAAACCACCAAAATTAGAGTCGTCGATGTGTGAAAGCAATTGGCTTTCGATGTTTGTAATCTTGCTTTGAAGAGACAGATCAACACGCTGCTACATTTCTCTCAGATACGGTAAATGCTTATGGCGTCACTATCATTGTGCATTGATATCTTATATTCCAAAAATCATCTCCTTGAGGACGATATTTCTCCCACACACAACAGTGAAATCTGCTCTCCTGCCTAAAACGCAAACGCTAGCATAATTGTTCATGCTTTATGGATCTTTGAAAAAATAAATTGACCTCTTTTTATCCTGCGGTGATCTACTCTGTGTAATAATTCATAATTTATTTTTAGCATTAAGCATTTAGCATTAATTTTACTAAGAAATAAAAATAACTATCAGTACCACAGAATTATGACTAACACCAAAGTGCGAGATATACCAACCAGAGGGAATTAATTTAAAATTCAATGAATTATTTCATTGTTTACTATTTAATTATTTTACTATTTTAAATTATTTTATAACACTGTTAAAACTGTAGTTTTAAAATAATAATGTTCAAAGCATTGTTTTATTGTTTAATTCTTGTGTAACAAAATCTGTGTAAATGCAAATTTTGTGATTTTTATGCCGCTTCAGATTTGGTTTCTGTGTCGCTTTTTCTGTGTAAAGATGCCTTAGGTATTTTAGAACTAAGGGGTACTTATTCTACTATTATTACTACTACTATTTTTTTTTAATTACTGGGAAAATATACACTTGTTTTATGAAGTTACAGGGTAAATGTGACATCCACAGGCTGTAAATGAAAGTGATGCTTGTTACCCTCTTGTTCCATGAAGTTAAATGGTAACAAGAACCAATAAAATTCAATAATAATATAAATATATGAATATTTATCAATATAAAAAATTTAATTAATTCACACAATCTGATATCATTGACTCTGAAACCATTATTTGAAAACCAAATTAATTCAAAACAGATTTCATTTCAAATTCATTTAAAACAACTTTTCATAAAAAATACTAAAGAAAGTACGTTTTGTCCCTTTTTTATTTATCTTGCTTGACTACCTCCTCCTCTTGTTCCTCTTCTTTCTCATTATTTTCAATGATGAATCTTAAGAAGGAATCCCATGTCTCTTGCTATTCTGTATTAGCCTATGTATTAAGTACACCCAGAAATGTTCTCGTACTTTACTCATCTTTTCGCTTCCCGCTAACTGTATTAAACGTGCATGAGAGTCGAGTTCACGTTTGATGTAAACATATTAACAAAAAAAATATTTAAAAAATACGTTCAACTGAGTGACGTTATGCTGCATGTACATTGGTCATCATTCACTGTTTATTCGCGAGTGTTGTGAAGAAAATGAATCACATCCACTGTTGAAGATTTCAGGCTCATTGTTTGTTCTGGTAATCGAATCAAAGCTCTTCCAAAATGCAGCTTTGAGCGCCGTCCAGCACCCTATAACTACATGGAACAAGAGTATATTTCCGCAGTATAAAAAAAAGTTTTCCCTGCCATGAAACATAGAAGCCCAAATTAGAACAACTGCAATTTTACTATAACACACACACACACACACACACACACACACATTATTCTTTGTCACACTCACTTGTTCGTCTGTGTTGTTTATGATGATCAGATCTGCTCCTCTCTCTGTACAGTATCTTCTGCTCTCATTCCAGTTCTTCGTCTCATTCGGCATGTAGTAAAAACTGGATTTATAGTAAGTCCATCCATCTGTAAACAACCAGTTTAGCTGTTAGCTCTTTATTCCCATTTACACTCACCTGTCCGTAACTTATAACAGATAGTAAACTCATAGATTATGAAACCTGAAAGTTACTGAGAGCACAACAACCCAACTCTATCATGCTTTAAAAAATGATAGATGTATAGTAAATAACTACATAAAAAACTTTACAATAACTCTGAAGATCATTTATTGGCTGGCCTCTGTTCTTGAATATTAGCTGGTCTCTCTCTTCCGTGAGTCTGGTAATGTTGGTTAGTAGCTGGTCTCTCTCTTCTGTGTAGTTTGTGCTCTTTGTATGGATGTGAACACACAGCACTATGACTGCAGTCAGCAGAAGAACACACAGCAACACCAAACACACTGCAGCGGCTCTGGAGCTTCTGTTCCTCACAGAATCACTTCCTGAAAATGGCAGACATGAAGATAAATGTTTCTTAATTTCTACAAAAACTTCATAAACTGTGTTTGTATTTGTACCTGTGTGTTGAGGTGGTTGGTTTCTCTCTGTGTGTCTGTCCATACCCCATGATCCATCAGTGTTTATATTATCATAAACAGGCATTTGAGTCATGTTTGCTTGCTTAGCCATGGACGTAAATGACGACAACTCTTTGTAAGCATTTGTACTCTGTAGTCCTCTGCTTTTGAAACTCTAATTTTAGAACATGTGGGCAATGTGTGTCACAGTACAATTGAGCATGTGCCATCATGTGATCATCATTGTGGTAGTTTGGTTAGAAGTAGCAGTTAGGTTCAAATTAGCACATGATAATTTTACATGAGTGAAAAGTCTTAATTCAACTTAAAGCTGCAGTCCGCAGTTTTTCCTCTTTGTCGCCATCTCTGTTCGAAATCTGCAATTGCAGTTATTCGCTATCAACTTTACGCGAGTTGTACCTTGGCACGGCACAGCGCGGATGAATCCAGGGCTCGAATTTTGGCGCGGTATTGCGCATAATTCTAGTCATTCCCGCAGGTCTCCGATTTATAATGCGGAAAATTCCCGCAATTGTAATCCACACAGATTATAAAACCAAATCATTCTTTTAACAACTATCTGCCAGACGCAATTTCACAAACAGCGTGAGTGTTCACCGGTGCCGCGTCTTCTATCTCTTCTCTCAAAATGTGTTGTGCAAGGCAAGCATCAAGCACTGCGGCGATAATACACACTCGCGTTTAGGAGTCGGGACATGACGGAATATTCACTTGCACAATCGGGCCAGCAGTGCATCGTGACTGAAGTTTACCATTTGCACGTCTTTTTAAGTCTTACCAGTTTAAACATTCAAGCGATTTTAAACTAATCAGTGCTCGCGCGCTCTCTGAGATGATTTTCTATGCGCACATTCATAGAAAATCCGCCTCAAAAACAGCTGGCCAGTAACAAAAGTTATTTTCTGTGGATTATATTGCTTTAACACGCAAAATTGTGTCAATTTCGGTCTTCGTGAGTATACTCTAAATATAGTCGGTTTTGTCTTTAATAAGCATAAAACGCATCACATGCCAGTATAATGAACACAGGATCCGTGCACTAGCTCTTACAGTGACGGCAGCCATATGTGTCTGTTATAAATTTTGTTTTCAAAACAACAAATGATAGCTTTAAAGGTTCTCTAAGCGATGTCGGGTGACGTCACTTCTTGTTGACGTTTAAAGTATTGTCAAACAAAACGGAGGCTAGCTAGACCCTTCCTCCTCCTCATCCGCGCACTAACCCCCAAACCCCGCCCCCAAGTCCTTCTTGTCGGTGATTGGCTGGAACTGTTTGTCATGTTTCGTGGTGCGGGTTAGCCCAGTTTGTTTTTGTTGCTGTGTGTGGAGCCTGGGCTGTCTACAGAGATCGCGTTTCTTTACAGTGTGTTCAGGGGACAGGCAGCCAGCGGTTAGTGAGGAGATGTTTGCTGTATGTGACAAAAAAATGTTTTGGCCTAAAAAACGCGTGACATCGCTTAGAGCACCTTTAAGTTAAAGGAATCAGGATTAATATGTATTTAATTTATTCAGGACTAAAATAGTACCCAGTGTTATTTTCAATTTGATTATTCAGTTTCTGTAATAATAATAATAATTCATTACATTTATATAGCGCTTTTCTAGGCACTCAAAGCGCTTCACATGGAAGGGGGGATCTCCTCAACCACCACCAATGTGCAGCATCCACTTGGATGATGCGACGGCAGCCATAGTGGGCCAGAACGCTCACCACACACCAGCTTACTGGTGGAGAGGAGACAGAGTGATGAAGCCAATCAGTGTATATATATATATATATATATATATATATGGGGATGATTAGGAGGCCATGATGGACAGAGGCCACTGGGCAAATTTGGCCAGTGGCCTCTGTAGCCTATATGAATACTAGTGTTAGACCTATTCAAAAACGTTTCTCTTTATTTGTCTTTATTTGTATCTTTATTCTATTGTATTTATTTGTGCTAATTTTTTCAATTTAATTAAACAATTTAAATCAAGCTTCCTTGTGTTGTGTAAATTCTTAACAACAATATTACCCCATTGTAAAAATGCAATGAGCGCAAACATTTAGGCAAGATAAATGTAATAATTTTGTTTGGATAAACAAACTTCTGACCAACTAACTGAAAAAAAGCATTGCCTTAAATCGTGCTGATTCTAACGATTGTTTATCATATCATGTCAAATTATACTTTATTCTCAAATTGTTACTGTTAACAACATCAGTAATTTTCGTGACTACATTTAAAGGGTAACTAAACCCCTGGTCAGAGCCTGACTCCACCCACTGCAAATATTTTAAAAATGCTGGGAAAGTGGGCAGAGCCCAGCAGAGATAGAGGAGACGAACCGAGGGCGGGGCTGAGCAGTGACAGATTATTTGACAGCTGCTGTCAGACTCGCTAAAATATCTATATATAAAAAAATATATCCAGCAAAACGCGCCGGCCCGTTTGTCGACACCAGAGGGTTAACTTTAGCTTAATAGGAAGGAACATAAATTGTGATTAAAAATCAGGGCTCCAGACTGCGACCAAAATTTGAGAGTGTGCGACTGAATTTTACATCCAGTCACACGTGTGAGACCTGTAAATTTGCATTGGCAGGCCAATGAGTGTGACAAGAATAGGGAATGGCCACTGTAAGTGGCTAATGTGTGGAGGGGGAGGGTCCTAGAGATAATTGAGCGCGCGTAAACATCTGTGGGAAGGAGATGGAGACAAATATCACAACCTACTATGTGCATCTGAGCAATGAGCAAGCGATCTATCGACTCGTTGCCGAGCAGACCAAATGAAAGTGGAACGAAAATACGCTACTCATTTATGCTTCACGGACCGTTTATTAGTTCGGACCAATAATAAACAGTGCAGCGCCCCGAAGCATAGACAGTAAAATAAAGCCCCGAACTGGCCGAAATGGTAAAAAAATTACCATTGTAAACAGTAGGATGTTTATTTGCTATTTTCACGTTAATATTTTTTTTTCACCCCTTTTTTATTTATTTATTAATATTAAGACATTATGAATGATAATAACTAAAGGTAATTTCATCTACACCCTAAATTAAGTTTAGTGATTTATTGTCAGCCCCAGTGCTACCAGAATGTTTTTTTTTTTTTTTTTTTTTTAAGAACTCAGTGGCTCTGGTGATGCTGCCCTCAAATTTGAGTCTGGAGCCCTGTGAACTTAAAATAAAACATCTGTACGTTAAGTCTATTTATTATTAAAAAAATGTGTCAGTATGACAGTTATTTTGGGGGAAATTTGAATAATTGCATTGCAAGCTGATTTAAGGTGTGCCCCTAAATGTTCTGCTTGCGCTCCTAACATTTTCAGTCAGGGGCTACAGTGCTCCTAGTAAAAAAAGTAGGGATGTCCCGATACCACTTTTTCACTACCGATACCGATGCCGCAGCTTTGGCTTTTGCCGATACCGATATTAATCCGATATTTTTATTTTATTCTTAAACTAATAAAAAATATAGCAATTTTCTCAATTAGCCACCTAAAATATACCTCCTATATAGTCCACAACAACAGTTGATTATGAAAGATTGCCACCCTTTATTCAAACACTACAAAAAAATAAAGAAATATATAAATGAAAGAAAATACAGGTACTTCAGTACTTAAAGCTAGCTAGCTACCAACAGGTTTAAAGTTAAAACAATTTAAACAGCAGCATTCTACATTGTAAATACCAGTACAGTTTTTGTTTTTTAAATCAAGTAGAATTTCTATAACTGTGTGTTAAACTGATTATCACTCTTGTGTGTGTTAAACACAATCTACTTAATACAGACAGCTTCATTATAAAGATAAACAACAAATCCCCAAAATATATGATCATAATCTATGACAAAAATGCTATTATAAACTAGATTAGTGGATAATACACATGGCTCTTTTTATTGTTGTAAAATACATTCATGAAAAACAAGATAACAAAAATGAAAAAGATAATTATTTTAGATATAGCTAAATCTGCTATAAAATTGAGACATGTTTTAAGTGTATTGCACAGCTATTTAATGAGGCAGCAACATTAATAATTATTAATGTTAATAAGCTTTAATTGCGTCACTGCATTATGATATGAAAGGCTCCAATACAGTGCGGCACAAAGCGCTTATGCGCATCCCGAGCGGAGAATGATGCGCTTGAAGCCACGTGGAGTTACAGCACGCAGCGCGTCGAGTCCGCTTTGAAAAGTTCAAAGCACAACGGAGATACATATTGATGGACAGTGTATTATACAGTATCTATCTATGCAATCGTTTATTGAGCCTTTTCTTTTAACAGTTTTAAATTTCAGTTACTGTGCGCGTGAAGAACAATTATAGTGCTCTGACTCTAGTGTTGTGATCAAACTGACAGCGTCCGACACCCGGTAGAGAGTAACACGATTGAGTTACAGCAATAAAGTCCAGCAAGATAAAGTTGTTTTATGCGAAAACATAGACCTTTATCTTACAGATCAAGTATAATAGTATTAACATTGAATCATCTTGAAGATAGTTTCATCATTGACTGTAACCGAACGCGACGCGCTGTTTGAATGCTGAATGGAGAATGACTGACAGCCGTGAGAGGGAAAAGTTTACTTGAATTTAATGACTTAAATATTAATTTATATCTCACATAATGGCTTCAGAACACTTATAATAGAGTGCACGAAAACGTTATGGTACTTTATAATGCTTTTGTGCCTTTTGTGGGTCTCAACAATAACACATAATAGTATACCCACAATATCGGATTTGGATCGGCCTCGTCTGATCGATGCTGATCGATACCCGATCCCGCAAAAATGGCAGTATCGGAGCCGATACCGATCCTGAGTATCGGATCGGGACATCCCTAAAAAAAAGTTAGTCCGGAGCCCTGAAAATATATGCTCACTCACATCATGACGCCGCTGTGGTGGTGGAGTCCATGCAGGAAGAGCAGCGTTTGACACTGCGTCGCTTTTCAGAGCGAGCTGTATGGAGAAGCCCATTTCCACCTTCATTGGGTTGGAGAAGCAATCCCGCGTAAAATGCAGTTTGCACACTCCAGCTCTAGGCGGGAACTCGCGGTCTTCCAGGCCAAGTGCATGCAACCACTGGCGCCTAATTTCAAAGTCTGCTGGAAAGCTATGCAGTCCAGCAGTGCTGTTGCAACCAGCAACACTATACCTACACCCCATCCTAACCACTGTAGCTACTAAATACAGATAAATCTACGCTAACTTGAAGCTATCCTAACTGATGCAATACTATGCTACTAACTAACTATGCTTCTAACAATATTACACTAACAACTATGCTAATTAACTACCTACAAAATAATCTAAATAACTATCTAAATGCTATGCTAAATAGATGCTAAAATACTCTATCCTAATCGTTTTCAATACTCGCAATTCCAACTCCTGACTCGCTATAGTGGTTTTGACGAAACAAGATGTTTTTTATACTGCCAAGGGCGTGGTGAGCTGGAACTTGTTTACGTCACCTGCCACCGCTTACGTCACGAACCACCGCAAACATCCAATAGGAAAATTCAACTGCAGTAGCCACTGTTCAACCTGAAGAGGGCAGCACTCAGACGTTTTTACACCATATATTGTAGAATTAAAACACTTTATACCCAAATGTCAAAAAAGTTACTCGAATCAATGATCAGCACTAATAAAGCCCCATTCTTACAGATCATTCACTAAAAAAAGTTGGTTTAGGGTTTAGTTACCTTTTAAAGCCCTTCCGATATTTATCTTTGTTTTCGCATGGGCCGGTTGCAGTCTCTTTTTCCAAACTCTCAGTCCAAAGTCTTTTGCATTTTACAACGAGTGAATCTCCAGTTGTCACTGATTGTCGCTTGAACCTTTCTTGATCAAATTAATAAGTTTAATTATATCAAGTGCTGTGAGAAAAGGCTATAAATCTCCACCTCCAACATCCCCGCAATATAGCTTATACTAGCCGAGACACCTTATGATGCTCGAATTTCCCATGGAAATCCACCAGTACCACTACAATTAAAGACATTAGTACAAGCTTAACGTTTTGAATCGAGCTAAGGGAAGCAAACTTTGAAAACTGGCTGGTTATGTACTTGCTCAATTTATTTTTCATAATTTTTAACCCAAAAAAGTTACGGAGTGGAGCTTTAAATTGATCAGAAAATCGGAACCAATCTGAGGTCACTGTGTTAGGTCACGTGAGGTGCAATGATATAAGATGTTATAAAGGTTTTGAACTTCATTAACAAAATGAGGCTGATACAGAATGGCACTTCTGATGAGTATGCACAATGAATCAGTAATACACCTCAAATTTGGTAGAAAATTAAAGTTTTATAAAAAAAAAAAAAAAAAAAATTACGTGCCATAAAGGCAGTCCAAAAGTCTTTACAGTTTTGTGTGAGGAACGTGTATTTTCAGTGATTCAGTTGATTTAGGTCATGGAACTGATTTGAAAAATGTCTAATTTTTAAAAACCAGTTTCTTCAGTTTAATTCCCTGATCTTGTTTTGTTTTCGTGTGCACCAATAATGTGATTATTTCCAATAATAGCAACTTAATTGCAGTAAGATGTTTACATGACACGAGCAAACCTTTTCACTCCCCTTTCTGTCATTTTCATTATTCTGATTATTTTCTAAAAATTGTGGTTATTTTTAGCACAGTTATTTACTTATCACAATGCACAGCACAAATGACGAACGCACAGTAGGTGTGTGACTGGCCAAACTCTGCCAGTGCACACAAATTCGTTTGAATTTTTTCAATGACGCAATTAGAGTTGCACAATTCTGGATAAATTGGGAATTAAGATTTTTTGTGTGTGTGTGTGTGTGTGTAAAATGGAGATTGCGATTTTCCCACGATTCTGAAAAAAAATTAAACAAACTAGTAAAATGCAAACTAGAGGTTCTGACAAAATGTTCATTGTTTTAGTCTATTTGAAAAATATATAATAATAATAATAATTAATAATTCATTACATTTATATAGCGCTTTTCTAGGCACTCAAAGCGCTTCACATGGAAGGGGGGATCTCCTCCACCACCACCAATGTGCAGCATCACTTGGATGATGCGACGGCAGCCATAGTGCGCCAGAACGCCCACCACACACCAGCTTACTGGTGGAGAGGAGACAGAGTGATGAAGCCAATCAGTGTATATATATATATATATATATATGGGGATGATTAGGAGGCCATGATGGACAGAGGCCACTGGGCAAATTTGGCCAGGATGCCAGGGTTACACCCCTACTCTTTCGAAAGACATCCTGGGATTTTTAATGACCACAGAGAGTCAGGACCTCGGTTTAACGTCTCATCCGAAGGACGGTGCTCTTTGACAGTATAGTGTCCCCGTCACTATACTGGGGCATTAGGACCCACACAGACCACAGGGTGAGCTGAAAAGAATGTCTATGAAGCGCTGCTTCATTCTGTACATTAACATGGCAGCTACTCTCTCCGGATCAGCGGCAGCGTAAACACAGATTTGAATGTTGCAGTGTGATCATCGTACTTTCAAAGGTTAACCAAAGTCCCTAAAGTCTTTGATTTAAACGGTTTCACATCTCAAGCGCTAGCCGAGCGTGAGCAGCACATGTTTAGTCGCCGCCCATATCAATGACATTAAATCACAGCAACATTCAAATCTGTGTTGGCGCTGCCACTCATCCGGGGAGAGCAGCTGTCATGTAAATGTACAGTATAAAACAGCAATTCACAAACATTCTTTTCAACCACACATTATCGTTAATGATAATTAATGATAATGATATAATTGAACTCCGCTGATGCTTGCGATGTGAAACAGGCGTCGCGTGTCCACTGGCGCAATTCATTCCTATGGAAGTTGAGCTTCACACTAGCCAGTGGACACACACCGTAATACACATAGCGGAAACATTGTCATTTAGTAATGACATCGTGTGGGTGTTTGAATCGAGATTGCGATCTGTTAATGATCCATTGTGCAGCTCTACCTAAAATAGAGCCACTAAATTCTACAGAAAGTAGGCTATTTGGTAGCACTGTGGGGCTGACAATAAAGCACTGAACTTTTTTTGAAATTTTCATTCATAATGTCTTAATATTAATTAAACAGCCAAAACATAGATATTCAACAATGGAAAAAATAGATATTAGGGAGTGAAAATAGCTAATAAGCGATCCTCCGCTGTAGAAAAAGAAAATGAAGACTCAAAAATATTTCTATAAAATGTACCCATTTAAACTCAGTATCTTTATACTGCAAGGCTATATTTATTTTAATTTGTTATTTATATATTCTTTTATTGCCATTACCTGTTTTTCCTGTTTTCATACATAAGTTTAGTTTGCTAAATATATCAATTGTTTTAGTTGGGTATTGGGTGTGAAAAGAAGGAAATGGTTCTTCCATGACACTGCACTTTAGATGTGTGTGAATTTCCCACACCAGGAGTAATTTATATAGTTATATTGTATAGTGATTATCATTATCATATTTCATAACATTATCAATGAATGAAAACTTACATTTCAGTTTGTTCTTTGGACAAAGCTATTGTAGAATTACTAAAGGCTTGGAATAAACCCCAGAGGTATGTGGTAATATTTTATGATATCTTTAATGGTGCTTTTGTGTCCTTGTTCAAGCTTGAACATTCTCAAGTTCCCATGTTTGAGATCTGTGTACCTCAGAAGCTGATGATTGTAACTAAAAGCACTATGCCAGTAGAGTCAAGTCAAGACTGAAAAAAACTGTTTATGGTCTGTGGTTTTACTGTTTCTCCACCACCACAAAGATACAGCAGCATTCTCATGAACATTTCTTTGAAGGCCTCAGGTCCTCCATGAAACCGTTATGATAACACCACACTAATGCTGGATGTTTCTCTGTAGTTCTTTTTCTGATTTGAGCAGACAGTCTAACAGTCAAGTCAAGTCATCTTCATTTATATAGCGCTTTTAACAATGGATTGTTTCAAAGCAGCTTTACAGAGATAAACATATAATTTAAGGTAACAGAGATTGTTTTGGTTTTATTGCGGTTCTTGAATAATGTTATTTCCAGCTAAAGTTAATTTTGATTGGTTCACCTCCGTCGAAATGATCAGACTTTAAACGCGAACCTGTGATTAACGCTGACGGCGTTCACGTGCACATTCAGAATTGATTCTATAGTTATGTGCTTTTGAAAATATGTGCGCAGGTTTGTAATTCCATACAACCCATGCCTAAACAAACTACTTGTCTTGCCTATAAATTTTGATACACCTGACCTCATCTGAGGTTTGCTACATTGATAAAGGGCAAACAATGGACTGACGCTGTGCTTCAGTGTTTAAGGTTGTCAGTGTACAGTTAAGTTAATAAAATCTTTTTAGATATCAATTTATGAAGGTTTAGTGATTATCCATAAAACATTAACAAATGGTTAGTTATTGTCTAATTTTAACTTAAAATAAAGAACTTGGCAACTTCACACAATCTCTTCCTGAGCACCAGAAATATGATGTTAAATGGCTGAATGTGCAAACTTTTTGTTGTTTTTTAAACTGAATGTACTCACCTGTACGCTGTGGTTGGTGTGTGTTTGTCTCTGTCCTGAAGTCATGATCTCTCACACAATCTGCACTCTCATAGATTTCTACCGTCATCTCCACTCTATCTGTCTTCATTCCCTCAGACTCAGTCCGGATCACATTGTCATAAATACTATCAGACATTTCTTCTCTTTAACCGTCAAGCTTTAAACAATTGTGTCCCTTGTTCCTGTGTAGATAGTTAGCACTCGTCTTCTTTTTAAAGCTAGTGACAAAGAAATCTGTGGTCAACGTGTGAAAACAAAAACATGTGACATTAGATCAGTTGACACAGTTGCGATAGTCTTTTCTTCTTTATTGTGATGTATATCCAAGTGAAATGGCTTCTCAAGCTAGAAAAAATGTAGACTTGATGATTTTTCCATCTGGAATTGATTGGATGGTTGTGGTTTGCTATTGCTGTGATGTCATGTGAGTGACAGGTTGTCCCGCCCTTGCGCCAGTAAACATCATCAGAGAAAAAAATGTCACTGCAAGAGGGAGGAGAAGTTAATTTGATTAAAGATTATGAGGACATATGCATTCAAAAATATGTGTGTGAATAAATCATTTATAATAAATACTGCAATATTTCATTAAAAAAAATTTGATTTCATGGTGACTTTAAGTTTAGAACCATCTAGACCATCTATACACTTTTATTAATATAATGACTATCACTATTTTGCAATACAGACATTTTAAACTATAATTATAACAAAAGCCACCTAACTTTTACATTATGTTGTGTGCGTGGGTAGGTGTGCTTGTGGGTGTACATTTAATAAGTCTTATATATAATTTAATAAACCTTGTAATATCAAAATTTGTGTATAGAATTGATCAGAAACACTGAAGAATTTGAAGGATGTAATAAACATTCCTCTGTCATCAGCATCTTGACTGACCAAGTCATTCTCATTCGCTAGATGTTTTGAAGCACGCAGCAGCAGCAACACTGCAGCTGCTCTGCAACTTCCTGAAGTCACTTCCTGAACACGTCAGACATGATGTTCATTATGTCTCTTGCCATTATTACTGTTCACATAGCACTAGACAGATACAGAAGTGCCAGGCATATTCGTACGAAACAGCCTTTAAACTATGATAAAAAGATCATGCATAATAATGTTCAAGATCAACATCAGATGCAGGCATTCAAACATGTTTAAACAACAGTTGAATGGTCAATAAGTTAATATTGTGGAACTTACATTTTGGACACTGTTACTTTGTCTATTTTTCCTCCGCCAACAAAAGTAGGTCCAAATGAAGCCAAAACAGAATAAACTGTTCCGCTTCTCAGAGAAACACACATTAGTGATGTTTCGTTCCTGAATGAATCCTTAATTTTGAACAAATAGATTGACTTAAGGATTAAATCACTGTGTCGCCCCTTATAGTATACTATTTGAGGGGAGAGGCATTTGTAGTGGTGTCCAAAACCATTGTGGACATTATCAAGTGCACTCATTTAATTCCATAATACTCCACAATAGAAACCGATGTACAACCGATATACAATCAACTTTTAGAGCTAGAGAAACCCATGAGATTTGTGTTGAATGAATTCCCTGCGTCCTGGCAGATGACGACATCCACAGCCCTTCTAGCCCACTCAGTGTCTGAATTTGTTCACTCATTTTCATTAATTATTTTGAATTGACATTATTAGTGGAATAAAGTAGGGAATGGTGAATGAGGGTATAGGGGGAGATTTCAAACACAACTAATGACTAACTCATAAACATAGTCCCTTGTTTCATTCCTGAATGAATCAGCGTTATTGAATGAATCGTTGAATGAATGATTTGATGGTTCATTCTTAATATTTAATATTAAACAATATTTAATGTATCGACTTATTTTAATACTCTCTTCTCACAGATCCAATTAAAAGTATCATGGGCAAACGCATAAGAAAAATATCCATATTTAAAACTTTATCGACTAAAATAACTAGCTTCCAGCAGACGGCCGTACACATCGATTTACGCCAAAAGAGTAACACTTGAACTTGACGCACAGCGTAATGACGAACGCAGTTGCCCAGTCCTGTTTGTTTGATCCGCGAGAGGCGTCTATTGCCGTCATTACGTTGTACGCGTCAAGTAGATGCGCTTTGATAGACTTACAAAGACAGACAAATCAAAATGTCTAACGCTACCTCTGCTCTAAATTTCTGAAACAACAATGACTGTGATTTCATATATCATTAATAACTTATTTAAGAACTCATTTCTGAATAATCAGTTAAATTCAGTATTTTCTTTACCCGGAGGTCATTGTGTGTGTGTGTGTGTGTGTGTGTGTGTGTGTGTGTGTGTGTACGCATCTCATCCCCAAATCTGCTAATTCCAAAACATCAGGTTTTGCATGGTTCATCTGCTGTTGCAGGCTGTAAGGACCGCCTGTGATCAGAAACTATAGTCAAAACTTTAACCAAAATTAAATTGAAATTGGAAAATATAAAAATAAAACACTTCAAATATTAATAAAAACAATAATAGGATATCAGTGATACTAAAATAGCACTGGCCTGGAGCTTTACTCAGCTGCCAAGGAGCAGGAATGGACACCCCTGATTTAGATGACAATCCTTAAAGGTCCCCTGACATGGGGTTATTTTATTATTTTATAATGTTTCCTGGGTTGCCCTTATAATGTTAGTATGTTTTTTAGATAAAAAATAGTCATAATTTAGAAATAAAAGGCATTTTTCCTAGCCTGATTTTAGCCTCTGATTTGAACGCTCTGTTTGAAGGGGCGTGTCTGCTGTGGGATTCAGTGGAACCGGCCACTGCTGTGATTGGCTGACATGCTTGCATATTAAATAGCTACGTATTACATGTGAATGTCTTTCGAATACCTGTACTACAGCTATTATACATTTTTACTAATACAGCTATCGAGATTAACGAATCGTGAGAAGTTTTTAAGGTATTTAGATTTATTCCCATCACATAAAATGTTGCCGTGATGACTGAGCATTGAGCGCGCAGATGACAGTCTGTTGATCGCAAGCATGAAGATCTTATCTTTGCAAAGCAGTTTCTGCACTCTCTCTAATGCTTTCACCAATGCAAACACGATGATGTACATACAGTAAGAGCTTCGTTGTGCAGTGTAACGTGCGTCATTGATTTCATAACGAGTTGTCCAGATAAACTCGCGCTGTGTGGAAAGATTGTTCTTTGATCGCTTTCTGTATATAATTTGTTCACAATTTAAATAAGATTATTTTCATCCTACTAAAAGAAACGATGTGAAGTTGATATTTTAGTCACTGGCTTGACTTACTGATGCATAAACAGTATTGAATGATTTTGAGAGAAAGATTAACTGTCTGAACTTGAACTTGAATTGTTGCTTGGTAGCTCGATCATTTATTTTCAGACGTTCATCGAGGCCAGCTTTGTATTGGCCCAAGTTGAGGAAACAGTCGTCGGTGAAATGTTTGGACCATTCAACACTTGTGTCGGCGCATTTCCAGAGAAAATAAAATTTACCCATTGTTTCTTCAGAGGCTCGGATGAAGGAACTAAAACATACTTTTGTGTTAATTTGTACATCCGAACATTGATCAACTGCCATGCTTCGCTCGTTTGCAAGCCATGATATCTCTCGAGGAAAAACTCAAATCGTGCTCGCGCGTTCGTACTTCCTAGCTCATTTTCTCATGGGCGAGCCAAATTCTCTGGGCGGGCTAAGCAGAGAAAGGGGAGGTAACATTTCCTCCTTATGACGTCATACGGAGGAGATTCAAGATCAGCGCGTCTGAGCTGCAGAGAAGAGAAAGATAGCCAAAGCTCGTATTTACACCGATTGGAAATTCTAGACACGAGGGGACCAAATACAGGCTAGGGGAACTAATATTAATGTTAAAAAACCTCAGAAAGTGAAAATTACATGTCAGGGGACCTTTAACCCTTGTGCATCAATTAAAAATGTTAAACATAGGTCCGTCGTGGACAAAAATGTCCTTGTCAAAAAACTTTCAGAAAAATTTGAAGCTTGCGAGCACAGACTTTAAAGGGATAGTTCACCCAAAAACAAAAATGTTGTCATTTACTCACCCCAAAGTTGTTCCAAACCTGTATGAGTTTCTTTCTTCTGTTGAACAAAAAAGACAAAATTTTAAAGAATGTTCGTAACCAAACAGTTGACGGTAGCCATTGACTTCCGTTGTATGACAAAAAAACAACAACAAAAAAACGAAAGAAGTCAATGAGTGCCGTCAACTGTTTGGTTACGGACATTCTTTAAAATATATGTTTTTGTGTTCAACAGAAGAAAGAAACTCTTACAGGTTTGGAACATGAGGGTGAGTAAATGATGACAACATTTAAATTTTTTGGGTGAACTAACCCTTTAAGTTTGGTCTCATTTTAAAGAAGACCCCTGGCAGATTATTGTTGAAGTAAAAACATTGTAAAAAGTAAAACCAAAAAAAAAGTCCTATAGGTTTAAGTTTCTGAAAATTATTTATGAACATTATGTTATATAAAATGTATATTTTATGAAACATTTTGAACTCTAAAACTGATATAAATCCAAACCATTAATCTTAACAAGTTGGGTTTCAAATTTGAGGATGATATCTCAAAAAATGAGCTTTGGGTAAGATTTATATTGGGTGCAGTACCAGTTTTTCTCCATTAGATGCCAGCAAAACTCCACTGGTGCACACAGTGGTTGGATTTTAGATTTGCAGTTGAGTTTTTCTCTCAAATATTACACACACACACACACACACACTTTTTTTATTAAACACTTACAAACCACACTGGCATCTATACCAACACACCCACACAATTATCGCTGCATAATTTATCCAATTGGCTCTATAATATGCCGAAGCAGAAAACAGGAATAAAGCGAGTATTTGCTTTATAGGCCAAACCTGAAAAAATGGCACAATCTGGTAAAAAATTGTCAAAAAAAAAAAAAAAAAAAAGCATGAGGTTGGATCCTTTTATAGTTAAATGGCCCTGGGATTTAAAATTGTTTTAATGGGTTTCAATGCCGACATTTTTGTCCAAAATGTGCTGAGAGGAACTATTTTGTGTACCTAGTGTAAAATAGATTATAGATTATTGAAATAGTAAAATTCCAATAAAAATATACACCTGTGCCAAATTTTATGCAGTTAGCATTAACACAGGCAAAGTGATAAAAAAAAAAACAAAGCTGGAAAAGACAAAACGGTCCATAAGGATGCACAAGGGTTAAATTATAACCATCCTAACTTGAGTAAACATCTTTTTAATGTTTTTTTCATTCATAAGGAAGACGATTCAGGGTAATGATTATTCAAAAAACATACACAAATGGTTAGTTAATGTCTGTAACTTTAGAAGAACACAAAGAACCACAAAACACGCTGGAGCTGCTCGTGAGTTTCTGATCTTCACAGAATCACTTGAACGCCTGAACACCATAGAAAAGTTGGCTGAATGTGCAAACTGTGATGTTTTTTTTATCAAAGAAATGAATGTACTCACCTGTACACTAAAGTGGTTGGTGTGTGTTTGTCTCTGTCCTGAAGTCATGATCTCTCACACAATCATTTCCACCATCATCTTCATTCCCTCAGACTCAGTCTTGATTACATCATCATACATACCATCAAACATGCCTGCTCTTTAACCGTCAAACATTACATGATTTTCTTCCTGTGTTTGAGTAGTCAGCACTCGTCTTGGTGGAAAACAAACTTGTGTGAAATGTGTGAAAACTAAAACGTTGCATCAGATCCTTAAAGTCAGCATGACACAGATGTTGCGATAGTCTTTTCTTCCCTATTGTCATCTAAATCCATGTGAAACAGCTTATTGAAAAACTAAAAATGTAGGCTGGGACTTGATTTCGTCCATCGGGAATTGATTGGATCATTGGATTGTTGTGGTGTTCTATTGATCTCGAGTGAGTGACAGGTTGTAAATTGAATATATCATAATATAAAAGATTTGTTTATAGAATCTACATGTTCAAACAACAGTTGAAAAAACAAGAAGTTAATATTGAGGAACCTACATTTTAGACACATTATACCATATATACCCGAATATAAGACAAGGTTTTTGTCCTAAAAATAGGCTGAAAAATGGGGGGTCGTCTTATATTCGCGATATAGACAAAAACACGGGGGGGAAGTCAAGAGACAAAGAGACAACGTTCCGATGAACAAAAAGCAAAGAAGAGGGTAAAGGAGAAGGAACATCGGAAAGTCCCGAATTTACATCGGAATAGCCTGTTTCAGAAAGGGAGGGAGAGGGGACGGGATGAGGAGGAGGGAGGGTACAGCTAGCCTCCGTTTTGTTTGAAGAAGTGACGTAACCCAGCATCGCTTAGTTCACCTTTAATATCATCTCATTTTTCTATGAATTTTATTGAAATGAGCAAAAACAAAGTCTCATTGTTCTGTACAGTGCAACACATCACTTTGGTTACTGCATATTGCTTTGAATGTAAAGATTTGATGCTTTGATAGTTTTATTAAACCTCTAAATCTTTCTCACAAATCCATACAAAGGTGTAATTACATGGATAATCAGCCCAATCAAAGAGTGATACAGCACAGTCCTCATCTATTTTGTTGTTGGGCTCCCCAGGCTCCCAAACCCTACAACAACAGATTAGCATTACAACAGCCTGTGTTTGTGTCATATAATATATGTGGCTCAATTGATTAAATGTTGTAAGTTAATGAAAGAAACTGTTTTTAATATTGCTTGAGAAAATGTTTGGTTAAGATTATCTACACTTTTCCATACACAATAGTATGAACAAAATGCTCACCCAGAGTTCAGCGTGGTGCCATCAACCCACTTCCAGACTCCCTCTTCATCACTGTCAGTCAGACCAATCCAGACAATATTTCCACTGGTAAACGTTCTGATAAATTCCTAAAATGAAATATTATCACTTTAGATCATAAACAGTCTCTCACTCACTTGTTCCTCTCTGTTGTTTATGATGATCAGATCTGCTCCTCTCTGCAAGCAGTCTTGTCTGCTGTCAGTCCAGCTCTTCCACTCGGAGGAAATGTAGTAGGAACTGAAGTTGTGCGTTATCCATTTAGGCTTGTCAAAGCACTGATCTGTTAATGTTAGATATTAGCTCTTTAAACCTGAAAAATCAACTAATTCATTGTAAATAATTAATTTCCTCTAATTTCCTTCCTTTTCTATTTACTTAAATAAGGAGCAGACTGTAACTTTTGTTTACAGGCAGGATATTTGTTGTAGATCATTAAATCGTTACGCTGCCTCAGAAGTCTGTCCAGAATCTATTTTGTGAGGTGCACAAACGCCTGCAAAGTCATTTCCTGAATAGGCAGCAAGGACGCAGCCATTGTTTTCAGTCAACAATCTTTATGTGTAAAACTTTTTTTTTTAATTTGTTAAGAAAAAAATGACTGTGTGCACATTTTAAGTTTGTGGAATTCTACAAAATGATTACCGTATTCATAAAGCCTGGCCTGGAGTTTCGCCAAGTCCTTCCTTAACTCTTCTCTGTCTTCTGTCAAGTTTTTACTCAGACTTAGCCAATAGTTTGCCTTTTTCTCAGATTGGAACATGTTGTTTTCCTTTGTGAACGTTATACACAGTACTGTGACGGACACCAGAAGAAGAACACAGAACAGCCCCATACACACCACGGTGGTCTTGTAGCCTTTTTTCTCATCAGAATCACTTCCTGAAAATGTAATGATTTAATTTATTTTCCATTTACCATAGCAGAGATATAAAGGAAACAAAGTATATAATAAAGATAAGATGATTAATATTTGCATTTAAGCACCCGATCTTACGTATTTGTTGTCTCTGTTCCTTTTCGGGATGGTTTAAGTCATCTAACTTTGTTCTAAGGTCATGTGGTAGGTCTATAGTATCCGTACTAGCAAATATAACGATGGTCATCTCATCACTATCTTCTCTGGACATCTTCAGTTTCAGAGAAAATGTATTTTGACAGTATGAAAGAAATTTAACGAGAACAAGTTTTCAAGAGGTGAGAGTAAAAATTGAATTTGAAACAAAAATTGTGAAATTTAAGATAATGTGGCATCCAACCTGTGAATAAACCAGTGAGGTCAAATTACTGAATGTTTTCCAAATTCTGTATCTCATTCTCCTCCGTCATTTCCCAGTTTCAACACTTTCATCAGGATACTTTGTAAATTGCACAGCACCAGCATAAACTAGCACTGGGAAGTTTTTGTTTTTATGTGCATGAACAGTCAAACTCTATTAAAACATTTTTATATGGCGATTTCTGTCCAAATCAATGTTTATCAATTCAAAATAACTTAATATGAAAAAAAAGCTGATTTCTGCTGATACAAAGCAAAAATTCACTTAATTTTTTTATTTATTATTGTTTTCCAGTAAAAAGGTCTAATTATCCTTAAAGCAAGACAAAAGTCTTTTATAAATTTCACAATTTTGAAAAATGCATCTTGTTTTACGGATTTTACATTTTGCTTTAATGGAAAACAAATGATACATCATACCTTCATGCAATCTCATTTGGGGTCCAGGGTTTTCCGTCCTTTGTAATTTTCAGTTGTTTCATTAGCATTCACATTCACATTCCCTTTCAACACAATGACGCATGTGATGTCACTTCACACTGCTAATAATGTAGGTCATCATTTTTCATCTTCCTGAAGCTTACAGACATAGTGGTCTGGCTTACTTCCTGTTGCACGCTGCATGTTTAATAACAGACAATACAAATCAAGCATGTGTTTAGTGTTTATTAAAGTGGATTGTAAAAAGTCTCAGTGAATATTATCCATCTTGTGAAATATTATTTCTTGATAGACATGTTTGTGTATGTAAATATACAAGTGGGGTGAAATGCACTATAGGTTATAGGTTGTCACAGTGTTTCCTGATGTAAAAGGCTTTTGAGGTGATTTGTTCCCTTTATAAATTTAAAGCAAAAAGGACAGGCATGTTACACAAGTAAAAAAAAAAAAAAAAAAAGTCAATATAGAGCAGGGGGGAAAAGAGATAACAGAATTAGGGATTTTAAGATACATGTTAAATGTATATAAATTCAAGCATATTCGGCATATGTCAGACTCACATCACTTCACCACGTGACAGCAGCAAGCAGGATCTTGATTGGTTTACGCGGCATGAACTGATGCCAAAGTTCACATTTTTCAACTTTGGCGTCAAACGCGTGAATGCACCGGATCGCCCCAAATGCTCAATTGCGAGAACTGGACGCGCGAATGAGGCGAATTAGTATGGCAAGCCAAGAGGGTCAGAACTACGCTATAGATTAATCGCGTTTACAGCCAAACGCCGTCAAATACGGTGTTTTAAACCGTATTTGCACCGCAAAACACGCCGTGTTTCTAGGCCGATTCCGATTTACGATTTTCATTGAGTTTGACCTGCCGATTCCGATTTTATTTTTTCTAACCACTTTTTTATTTTCAATAACACAAAGATTTATTTTCTATATATTTTTTTATTTATAAAACACCATATACTTTTACCCAAACTGAATAATAAAAATAACTTTAAATGGGTAAATTTTCTATAAATATTTTCTATAAAGAGTCTTCATTTTAATTTCTGACATAGCCTACTCCAGTTCTCGTTAAAACACACTAGACATGCAAATTCTGTGCATTTTGGGCACTTTTTGTGTGAAATCATATTTATTTTGTCCATCAAAGTGTGCGTTCCCTTTAGTTGATCATAAGCAGCGCAGCAAAAATAGACTCGGCGCCGAAACTGCTTCACTGCTGCTCATGCGACGCTCCTGCTCGACGCTCTTGCGCTGTTCCTGCTCCCGGTGTGAATGCACTCATTGATTAACATGCACGCCGAAAAACATGCGCGCCGCTCACGCTTGCGGTGTGAAACGGCCGTAATTCACAAGGTTTCCTACATGTGCGTTCCGTGTGCACGTGTGATGCTGCGAGATGTTAATCATGCGCTGCCCGAGTGCATTTTGGCCGGCATAAATAAAATCGGCATATGTCAGACTGACCGGCCGGTCACCGATCATGGCCGATCACGTGAAAATCGGCCAATTCCGGTCACCAGCCGATCAATCGGTGCATCTCTACTCCCAATCAATAATGAACTGAGTCAGACCAGACCAATTCAGCTCGGATCATTTGTGGTAATCCATTAAACAAAGAAAATATTCCAGATTGCTTTAAGATGGCTAGAAAAAGCTTAATTTTGTGTTGCAAGCGAACATTAAATGACTGCATAAGTAGGCGTACATTTTGTTTTGTTAAAACCTTACACAAATCAACTGTGGCAGGTGACCACTACTTTTTACCAGCCATTTTTTTTTCTTTGCTATATACATGCTTAGCATCTTAATTTAATCTTTATTTGATCGTTTTATTCATTAACTAATTATGTTAACTCAACTAAGTTAATGTTAAGAGCTGGATACTAATTAGACTACTAAGTAAATAATGTCAACTAAATTGTTTATTGATTAGAGTTGCCATAGACTAAAGATTTTTCTAGTCGACTACTAGTCATTCATTTAAGCAATTAGTTGACTAATCGCACGTTTATATTAATTTCTTCTTAAATACTGGGTGCATGGAGGAATAGCCTATCCCGTATACTAAAGCGCATGCATAAATCTTGCCGCAAAACACCAAAGTAGGCTAATGACAATAAATGTGTCTAACAAGGCATTTGAATTGTTTATTAATAAACTAATGTTTTCTAAATCAGGCAGCTAACATATCTCCATCTCCGCTGTAAAGGGGATGCGCCTTTAGAGAGAAATGCACCTTTCATACGGATTACATAATCAGACGGTATAGGCTATTTGCTTTCGATTCTAATTTGTTCGTTTAAAAGTGGACATTTCAAGCTTTATATAGGTATTTTTCGAATGTCTGTCTGTGAGGCTAGTAGTAGAGGCTAGTACGCTGTTTTTCAGTTCATTTGAGACGCGCTCCATTTCACGGAGACCATGAAAGTTATTTTACAAAAGCACATTGTTTTATTGTTATTGTGAGTTTACACAAATAAAATGTGTTGCGAATGATGTATTATTCTTTTCTGTATGACCAGAAATTAGGGAGTATTTTAAGTTGTTTCCACTGTTGATAGGAAAATGCAAGTGATGCAAGTCGCCGGCGCTTCCATGTCATGCAGTGCGCGCTGCACAATAATGGAGGAATATGTTGGAATAGACTATTTAAAGGGATAGTTCACTTTTAAATTCATTTTTGGTATGTTTTAGCTTACCTCAAGGGCATCCAAGATGTAGGTGTCTTTGTTTCCGCAGTAGTTTCAATTTAAATATTTTTAGGTCAAACCGTTCTTGTCTGTCAGTCATATAATGCAGGTCTATGGTCACTTCCACAAAGAGCATGCACTGAGAAGTCCAAATTAAACATGATTTAATGACTCGTAAATGTAAGTACAGATTGATGGCCTAAGACACGAAACGAGCGGTTTGTGTTAGGTTATAGCCTATAAAAATAAAGCATTGATAAATTATTTTATGACAAACATATTACTGTATTACTAAGTAAAATTTATATATATATATATATAAACCTGAAATAAAGGAAAATATAAGTATTAGTTGAAAAACTTAAACTAAACGAAAATTAGAAATGTTTCCTTTTATCAACAAATTGGATTCATTTAGTGTTTTTTCAACCGTTGCGATCATTCTCCATTCATTAACCGACAAGATTATGTTAAACTATGTTAAAGATTATGTCTGTGACCCATTGAAAACACACAAACATTTTTTTCCAGGGGTCTAGTTTTAGCCTGCATGCACAAATAGCTGCATAAAGAACAGAATCATCATCGTCATAAGGAATAAATATTTGTCTATACGCAAAATTTATTTCGGTTCATGGTCAAAATGATCGCCTTTGAGAAGCAAGTTCACGGAAAGGAAAGCTGTTTGTTTTCTTTATTATACAAGCAATGTTTTGTTTTTATTGTGAGTGTAGGTAGGCTAATAGTCTACACAAAAAATAATAAACCATTCACAGATTCGAATGATTCTTGGCTATAATGATCCGTGCTGAATTGGTCTGGTCTGACTCAGTTCATCATTGATTGGGAGAGAACAGTTCAAACTCCCTGGGTGTGTAAAACAGTGGGCGTGGCTCATTATACTATTATAAAACGCCATAAAATAACGCGCGGTCTGTTCAACCAAAATTGCATTTTTTACGCCGTCATATGGCGAGATGAAAGGCGTAAAAAGCGGCGCTTTCCATGCACACTAAAACGCCGTCGAATACGGCGTCATTGGCGTTTGTAATTACAACGGCGTATTTTGCGGCACAAATACGGTTTAAAACGCCGTATTTGACGGCGTTTGGCTGTAAACGCGATTAATCTATAGCGTAATTCTGACCATCTTGGCTTGCCATAAATTCGCGTCTACCTCGCCGCGCTAAACGCCTCATTCTCGCCGCAGGACCTCTAGACGTGCATAACACGTCTTTACATTGACTTAACATTAGGCTTGTTTGAGATGCGCCTTGCCTCGCCTGAAATGTATGCGAGAGTAGGCGGCTGCAATGAGAGGAGGAGTGAAGAAAGCGCAGGCAAGCCGGACAGATCTCTTTTCTCGCAGTGGATCAGACACCTGAGATCAAAGACTGATATCACGGGATTCACGCTTGTGCATGGTGTTGCTAATAAACTGGATGTAATTTAAGTTATGTTTCTTTTTATATGAAAACAAATATAATGAACAAGACAGACACCCAAAGTAGGCCTACTTGTTATTTAATTCCATTCCAAATACGTGTTTATCAATAATTTTTTCTTTAATACAGATGTGTGTTTTTTATTGTGTTTTTTTAAATAAAAATGACATTGCATAACCCATAGAGACTGTCAGAGAGTTTGTGAATATTCACACATAACGTATACACATAAAACATGATATCAGAGTTTTAAAATTAAACATTTTAAAAGAGAACAATACATTCACGGCTGTTTAAACCAATGACCATTAAGCTGTGTCGTCAGAAAGTCGTTTCCCATCATGCTTTTGATCAGCGCAGTCGGTGGAGAGCAACTTGCGC